ACACACACACACACACACACACACACACACACACACACGGGGGTACCCCCCCAAAAGAATAACCCCAGATGTGTGTGAAGGGAATAATGTATTTGAAGTTCATTCCGCCACATCAGACTGTTAATCAAGCTTTCTATTTAGAGGTTCTGAAAAGATTGCATAACAACAGTATGCGACAAAAAAGACCTGATGTGGCTGACAGTTTTGCCACCATGACAGTGCACCTGCTCACACAGCCATCTCAGTGCACCAGTTTTTATCAAAAAACACCATTCCTCTCTTGCCCCACGTACCTTACTCACCTGACCTTGCTCTGTGCAACTTATTTTTGTTTCTGCAAATGCAGAGGGACATGAAAGGAGAGTGATTTGAGGACGTCGAAGAGGTGAAGAAAAAAACGAGGGAGGTGGTGTCAGCCTTCCAAACAGATGAGTTTGAAAAGTGTTTACAAGAATGGAATTGCAGATTTGACAAATGTGTTAAGAGTAATGGAGAACACACGTTTTTGGGGGGTACCCCCTCTCACATATCTCCCTAGTGATTTTTTATTATATATATATAATGTATATATTATATGTGCTCTTCAGCGGCAAGGATGGTAAGACACACTTTGGAAGAGAGAGCAGTCCCCGGAGAAGGACAGCATGTTTGGTAAAGTGGAAGGGCGATGTCAAGAAGGTCCTCAACGAGATGCAAGGACACAGTGACTGCATCAGCGGGCTCAGGCCTAGGAACAGTTGTGAAGATGGCTCACGACCATGCAGTGTTTGTGCTGTTGTGCATAAGGTCGCTAGGGGTTGGAGCTGACTCGGCACCAACAAGAACAACAGCGTATTATGCTATTTCCTATACAACATATATGCTAGTACCACACTTATCTTGAATACTGTAGCTTTGTAGTACGTTTTGAAATTGGGAAATGTGAGGCTTCCCGCGGGTTTCTTTTCAAGATTGTTTTGCCTATTCTGGGTCCCATGAGATTTCATGTGAATTTTAGAATCAGTTTGTCAATCTCAACAAGGAAGCCGACGGGGATTCTGGTAGCACTAGTGCTGAGTCAGTAGCTCCATCTGAGGAGTATGACCATCTTAACAATGTTAAGCCTCCTAATCTGGGAACACAGGAGGGTTTAATTAAGTTGCTCATTCTTAATTCAAGCTTTGCAGTTTTTTCCAAACATAAGTTTTATACTCCTTTTGTTAAATTTATTTCTAGGTATTTTATTCTTACGTTTTTGTAAATTAAGCTCTCTTAATTTTATTTTCAAATTTATTCTTGCTAATGTCCAGGATATCAGTTATTATTAATCAGATATTATTTCTAATATCAGTTTAGAAATAAAACTGGTTATCTGTTGATCTTATATCTCGATGCTGAGTTCTCTTTTTAATAACTGGATTCCTTAGAACTTTCTATAGATAAGAGCTTACCATCTATTAGTAGGGATACTACTTCTGCTTCCTTCTCAATCTGGATGCCTTTTATTTTCTGGCCCAATTTCCTGGCTCAAGCCTCCTGTACAATTTGAATAGAAACAGTATGGTGAAAATGAATATGATGCTTCTGATTTTACCATTAAGTATGGTGTTCTTGTCAGTTAAAGATGCTCTTTATAAAGTCCAGGAAGTTACATTCTATTCCCAGTTTGTTGAGTGGTTTTGTTTTTTATTATTTTTTTGCCATGAGAGGATGTTCGGTATTGTCAAGTAGTTTTTCTGTGCTTATTGAGATGATTATCTAATTCTTGAGAAATTCTGTTTGTAGAAAACCTCAACTCAAACAGGTGTATGCAAAAACAGACTAATTGGCCAACTTAACAGAGAAGTCCAGCAAGTGTATTTCCTTCGTGCGTGCGTTACATGATGAGAATTGAAGAGCTCAGTACTGCCCCCAGGCCTTCCTGCCTTTATGTGAGCATCAGGCTCAGACCCCGTGTGATGGCATAGCATCCACCCGCTAGGCCAGGCATCAGCAGTTAAGACCAGCAAGAAAGAAAGCCTGCCTTCGGTCTCTTTCTGATTTTCTCTAGTCCCAGCAAAAGTCCCAGAATTTTTTTCAGACTGGGTCACGCCCCTGTGCCGGACACTTAGTTAAGACTCATTCATTGCCATTGAGTCAGTGTCGACTCATAGCAACCCTGTAGATAGGGCAGGACTGCCCCTGTGGGTTTCAGAGACTGTAACTCTTTATCTGAGTAGAAAGCCCTATCTTTGTCCCACAGAGCAGCTGATGGTTTTGAACTACTTCCTTATAGATCACAGCCCAACGTGTAGCCACTAAACCACCAGCACTTTTTAAGTGAAGAGAAGGGAGGTGAAGTTCATATCTGTCCTGAACGATATGCTCACCCTAGAGCTGGTGAACTGAATGGAAGTGTGGATAGGGGGAATTCCAGCAGTGGAAATGAGGGGGTAGAAGCAGCATTGCCAAAAATAATTTTGCAGAATACCTCTACAGTAAAGTAATTCAGGACAATACCTACTGTGTGAAGTTGACATTTAACTATTCTTTTCTCTGACATATTCCATCCTTGGCAGTGGTAGCTGCAGTAAGACTCTTTCCTGCTCATTGATGTCTCTTATTTAATCTTTTCATTCCATCTCTAATAGAGGATGGCAAGATAGAATAAGAGACAGACAGACAGGAAGGGAAGATAGCTTAATGACCATCCGTCTAAAAGAGCAGGAACAGATCCACATTTTCTTATGTCCTCTCTTACCCTGGATGCTTTATGATGTCCAAGGAAGTGCAGATTAATTTAAGGCAAGCAGCATATTAATGGGCTCTTCATCATCCTTGCCTAGTTTTTCATACAATTCATTGGTTCTCAGCTGCAGCCCAGCCTCCTAGCAGTGGACATTGTGAAAGAGCCGCTTGTCCCAATTCTAATGTGACTCTCCGTCATTCTGCATTTCAATAATGTATAATAGAATGCAAATATGGCTTCTGAACCTTTGGTACCTTTATGCTTGGACACAGTTGTTGAGCTTCAAAAGCTATAAAGTAAAAACTGATATATCAAACTTCCCATAGATAAATACAGAACCTGCTACAGGAAGGATTGTTTCGGTTACAGTTATTGTTTACCAGCTGCTGTCAAAATGTACTACAGCTGGTGTGTGTGTGTGTGTGTGTGTGTGTGTGTGTGTAACATTTTTCAGATTCCTGTAAGCTAAAGCTGGTTGAGTGCCACTCTTGTTTTTCACATTATATGAAGCTTCTTTTTAGTTAGGGCCATGCCATTGTTTAACTGGGAAGTATTTTTCCTTTGTGCATTATGTAAAATAATCATGTGTCTGAAAATTCAAATTTGGTACAGCATCTGAGGGTACCCTGAATGCCTTCTTCCCAAAAGTCGTGGTTGATCTGGGAGTGCTCCCATAGCCACAGGAGCCCTGCTGGCACAGTGGAGTTTCAGCTTCTCTGGGGGAAAGATGAAGCAGTCTGCTTCTGTAAAGATTTACAGCTTCGTAAGCCCTTTGGGACTCAGGATGACCCACAGGGCAGAGTAGAACTGCCTCTGGGTTTCTGAGACTGGAACTCTTTATAGGAGTAGAAAGCCCTGTCTCTCCCATGTGGTTTCACAGAATTGCCTGTGCAGTTAGCAGACCCGGGTGTAACCCACCACGCCACTAGGCCTATCTAGCAGCACGGAGTCGGAATTGACTAGATGGCAGTGGATTTTTGTGCCCTAGGGAGAAGTTCTGTTCTGTCCTATTGGGTCACTCTGAGCCGAAATCAACTCCCGGGCAGTGAGTTTGATTCTTGACTTTGCTTACCACCAACCAGGCATGGGGTTGTGCCCTGATGCATTGCTACTGTTCCCACTCGGATAGCTTTCTAGAGCTGAGGAGCCCAGGTCTTCGAGTTAGTGTGCCAGGAGGGCCACTAGAAAGACGACGTTCCTTCTCAGCTCTGGTGGGTACTTCCTTTAATCTACCTGAGTCAGGGTTTCCTATCTGGTTGCAGCCAGGATTTCAGAACTCTCTTCCATTTCCCAGGTTCTCAGGAGTTCTTCGTTTCAGATTGGGGAGCTGGCCTGAGGTAGACTTTCATACTCTCTTGAAACGGTCCATCACACTGATTCTTTGCTCAACAAGACAGAAATAATTGCATTTGAAAAATTATATAAAGAATAAGACACACACATTCACACGCTCACTCAGAGCAGAACTGCCTTTGTGTGTTTCTCAGGCTGTACACTCAAATGTGATAGAGGATCTGGTAGATTATCTACTTCCATTCTTCATAGAAATAGAAAGCCTCATCTTTGTCCCGAGGAGCAGCTGGCAGCTTTGCTGACCTGGTGGTTAGCAGCTCAGTACCTTTCTCTAAACTGTCATAGCCGTTAGGGATATCGTTTTCTCATGGGACTCTGCTGTGGTGGGTGGAGTCAGAGAGCCAGCTAGTGATGGCTTTGGCTGAGCTTCAGGTTCAGGGCCAGATTAAAGCACATGAGGGCCCTTACCACTGATCATCTGCCTACTCACACAGTCAAACAGGATACGTGAGTTATATATATCATATACACACATACATGTATGTATGTATATATGTGGAACTCTGGTGGTATAGCGGGTTGTGTGTTGGGCTGCTAGGTGCCATGTGATCTTAGGCCTATTCCAAAGCACTTTAGTATGACTTTGGGAAGTTATACTAAATTATATGTCATTATTACTTTGCCTCGTTTTAAGTTTTAGATAACTTTTCTTAACCGGAGCTGGGGATGGCGGGTGTGTGATAACAATCCAGAATCCAATAACCACTGGAGAAGAACTGAAAAATTACGGTTCACTAGTATGAAAAACTCATCCAAGTTCCATTCTGTTGTGCTTCAGATCACCTTGAATCAGGGCCAACACAGTTAACAACATAACCCTACTACCTCGAGAGCCAGAACTCGACTTGTTTTTTAAATCATTTTATTGGGGACTCTTGCAGATCTTAAAACAATCCATAGTTCAGTTGTATCAAGCATGCTTGTACATATGTTGCCATCATCATTTCCAAAACATTTTCTTTCTACTTGAGCCCTTGGTATCAGCTCCTCTTTTTCCCCTCTCCCCTCCACCTGTGAACCTTTGATCAAGTATATATTATTAACGTTACTGTTATTTCATAAGTTATTTTGTATCTTTCACCATTGTCTTCCTTCACCCCCATTTCTATTATTGGTACTCCTTGGGATGGGGGGGGGCTTTATATATCCAATCTTGTGATCAGTTCCCCCCTTTTCCCCTCCTCCCCTCTCCCCTCATGGTATTGCTACTCGCACTACTGTTCCTGAGGGGTTTATCTATCCTGGATCCCATGTGTCGAGCGCTCTTGTCTGACCAGTGTACATGCCGGATTTGTAAGGTAGAACTGGGGTCATGATAGTGGGAGTGGGGGGTGGGGGGCTGAGGAAGCGTTAAAGAACTAGAGGAACGTTGAGTGTTTCGTCGGTGCGATACTGCATCCTGGCTGGCTCATCCCTTCCTCGTGACTCTTCTGTGAGAACTAGACTTTTTGCTGGCCCTTCCAGACTTTTTTCTCAGAGCACAGCTAGCAATTAAGCCATCTCCTATGATTGTGTAACTTTGATTTTTATGAGAATTAAATCAAGCGTGTAGGTTTTTTGGGAACCTGCTTCTCATAAAACATCCACTCACTCGGCTGTCGAGTCGGTTCCTGCAGCACAGAACAGACCCGGCCCTGTGGGTTTCCAGGCAATGCCCGCTCCTGGGAACCTGGACTCAGAGTCCTGGGGGGGGGGGGAGGTGTTCCCACGTGCTGGAGGGCAGGGACCGAGGCCGTGCTCTTGCTTCTGTGTTCAGGTTGGCAGCCTCGCTGGTTCCTTCTCGGCAGGGGGATCCTGTCTTACTATGACTCTCCGGAGGACGCCTGGAAGGGCTGCAAAGGGAGCATCCAAATGGCAGTCTGTGAAATTCAAGGTGAGGAGCCAGGACTTGCAAGCTTGTTTTGGTTGTGTTTTTTTCCACCTCATGCCATCTCTCACAACAAGCTACAAAACATCCCCACACACTACCCTCTGCACGCCCTCCTCTGCTGTTGCGATCAGACAGAGCAGGACGCAGGGGCACATTAGTTACAGACGGAAGCTGAGTCCGCAGCCGTTTATCAGGCAGGCAGTCTGTGGAGAGGCCGACAGAATAACCGAGGACAGGGTGCCCCGCTGCTCAGCTGGTGCTCATTCTTAAGTCACTGCTCACCTGGGGCCTGTTGGCAAAACACCTCCTGCCGCGGTGGGAGGCATGTGTTTAATCACCATCCCCTCTACCCGTTGAAAACGAGCCCAAACTGAACACATCTACAAGTGGGCTTGGCTTCCTGGTTCAGGGAAGCTGGAGACGTGTGCTGAGAAGACACGAGGCTCAGAAGTGGGCAGGTTGGATCTGGGAATGTGAGGGTGGGTGGAAGAGGAAGAGGGTAGGTTGCGAGCGTCTTCCCAGGGAACGCTAACGTGGTTGTTGCCTTGCCCGAGAAGTTGAAAAAGATACACACTGCACTCCTGATTGCTTTGCAGGAGGCCTGCAGGAATAAAGAATGTCCCCTTGCTGCTGCCACCCCAGCCTTTTATGACCTCTGGCCGGCATACTTCACATGCACACCAGCCAAAAGAGAGGTTCGCTCTCTGTTTGGATACAGGACTGTGAGGGAAATTGGATGGTTCTTTCTTAAGCCAACTTCTTGGTGAAGCTTGGAGCCCATGGGGAGGGTGTTCCTCCAGATGGCAGGGAGCAAATAGCGAGAAACAGCTTTGTGGGAACCAGGAGATGGCGTTGAGGGCTGGCACATCAGCAACTGGCCTCATTGAATCAAGAAGTTGACAGGATGGGTGGGCTGAGAACTACTTCAGATAACACTTCTGGTCTCTCGCCTCTCTCTGCTCTGCTCCCAGTTCATTCTGTAGATAACACGCGCATGGACCTGATCATCCCCGGAGAACAGTATTTCTACCTGAAGGCCCGGAGTGTGGCTGAGAGGCAGCGGTGGCTGGTGGCTCTGGGATCGGCCAAGGCCTGCCTGACTGACAGTAGGACCCAGAAGGAGAAAGGCAAGTATCGATTGTCCTCTGGTCTGGGGACCTTGGGGACCACCCATCAGCATCTCTTGGTTCCGTTATTTTCTTAACTTCTAATCACTTAGCTACCTTTTTGTTTCATACAAGTGCAGTACCTCAGTGGAATTTAACCCTTTATACCGAATTATTTTCTGCTTTGAGTTTGTTGTTGATACCATGTGTTTTCAGTGATGGAAAACATGCTAAAATCAAGGCAAAATAATTTTTGGAGGCATATGGATTTTGCTATAATTATGTGGGACACAAGAAGATCCTGGCGGTAGGACTGGTGAGGTGAGGCTCGTTTCTTCAGATTCACACAGTCATATAGGTCTCCACCATGTGGCAGTGTACTAGAAATGGGCGAGCCTCTTTCCAGGAAGCCCGAGAAACTGACAGTGTATTCCATGGGTCTTGGAAGGGTTAACCAGAGCCTGTTTGGAATTCTTCTTTCAGAGCATGTCAGCGTGGAAAGAGTACCACTGACTTTGGTGCCAGATAATTGCTTTCAAATCGTGGTAGTGGTATGGCCTGGGCATGGGTAACTTGTGAGCTTCGTTTTTCTCATCATTTAATAGGAGATGTTATTATCTTTAAGAAGGATTTTTTTCCCTGCTATTTACAAGGTTTTCAGTGGCTAATCATTCAGAATTGGACAGACAATTCCTTCTCCATAGTCAGTTCTTAGTCTAGAAACTCTGCCAACTCTACTGGAATTTGAAATGCCAGTGTTTTTTTCCAGCATCATAGCAACACGCAAGCCACATGACAAACTGACTGATGTTGCAAGAAGCTGTCAGCCCCAACTCCTAGCGACCCTGTGCATAACAGAACAAAGCCCTGCCTGGTCCAGTGCCATCCTCACCATTGTTTTTATATTTGAACCCATCGATGCAGCCGCAGGGTTAATCCAGCCCATCGAAGGTGCCCCGCTACTTTTACCAAGCATGATGTCCTTCTCCCGGGACAGATAGGTGGTGGCAAATCTGCTGCTCGAGACCTCCTTAAAGAGTTGAAAAGCAAAGGTGTCACTTTGAAGACTAAGATGCGCTTGACCCAAGCCATGGTATTTTCAATTGCCTCATATGCATGTGAAAATTGGATGTTGATAAGGAAGACTGACGAAGAATCGATGCATTTGAATACAGTGCTGGTGAAGAATATTGAAAATACCATGGGCTGCCAAAAGGACAAACAGATCTGTCTTGGAAGAAGCACTGCTGATTCTAGTCCTGCTCCTTGGAAATGAGGGTGGCGAGACTTTGTCTCACAGACGTTGGACAGGTTATCAGCAGAGACCAGTCCCTGGAAAAGGAGGGTCAGCCAAAAAGAGGAAGACCCTTGACAAGATGGGTTATCACCGTGGCTGCATCAATGGGCCGAGACGTAAGAACCATTGGGAGACTGGCGCGGTTCCCTGTGCTTTGTGCAGGTGTGCACCGGTCGCTATGAGTCCGAACCGGCCTGATAGTGCCCAGCAACAGTGGCTCGGAAGGACTGCCATGAGGAGTGTGCTGATGGGCAAGCTGTCTAGCAGCTTGTCTGGCACCAGGTTGACCTTCAGTAATGAAGAGCTGCGCCTGGGAAGCCTCGGATCAGAGAGTTTCTGCAGCAGCACTCTGCCTGTCCCTCTTGTTCCCTGGGGTGGCAATACTTAATTGCCAGCCTGCTGCTGCCTAATGCTCATTAACTCAACATCGTACTGCTCTGCTGAGAAGCATGGCACCGGTCTTCCCCTTGGGGCAGGAATACTGGGGTCTAGGTAGTAGACCCCAGTATGCTTCCCAACCCCATGTGCACACCTGAAGAGAGAGCAATTGTGGGGTAGCGGGGAGGTGGGGGGAAAAGGCTGTCCTACGAAAGGTGTTCCAGGTATATTAACTCTTTAAGGAGACACAGTAAAATGGCCTGTTCCCTGGTGGGTTGTTTTTTTAAAAAATAATCATTTTATTGGGGGCTCGTACAACTCATCACAATCCATGCTGAATCAGGAGTAAATTCTAGAGTCTATTGATCGACTCAGAGCAGGTGGTGATGTGTAGCTTTCACGTGGCGTGAGACAGGGCTGGTTATAATTATAGTACGGCATCAGTGCCAAGGTCACTGACATGCCTTGTTAATGAGGGAGTACCAGGGGCACTCGGGTAGCATTAGCCTTGACAGGCAGTGTGCTGAGCCAGCTCTTGGCCCAAATCACAAGTGTGTCATTAGTGAATGCACACTGCATAGCACTGTCACTGTGTGCCCGCTGAGCTTGGGGTCAGCGGATAGTAGCCATGAGCCCTTTTTCAGAGAGGGAGAATGCCCGCTGCTAGGCGGGCCGAGGCTCTGAAGCCTGGATTGTGCTCTTGAGTTCTTGCACTCTCCCATGCGAAGGGCCGAGGGTCTGTGGTCTGCTTTCTGTCTTGGTGACTCTTCCGTACAGTGGTTCACGACTGCGGTTACTTCAAAGTCCTGGCAGTGTTGTTTTGTGACTGTGGCCGTGGGTTATATATATCCCACTCCGTCGTGTGTCAAGGGCAAGTGGTTTATTCCTTTAAGAAACTTCATGACTGTCGTCGTTCTGTTGTTCAGAGTTTGCTGAAAACACCGAAAACCTGAAAACCAAAATGTCAGAGCTAAGACTCTACTGTGACCTCCTTGTTCGGCAAGTGGATAAAACGAAGGAAGCGGCTGCCACAGGCAGCGTGCCCAGTTCTGAGGTAAGATGTTGCTGCCTTAGCTACGTGCAAAGGAGCACCTTTGATCTTGTTATTTGTCAGAGAAAACGGCAAAGAGAAGCTATGTGTCCGTTTCACACACACTGACATGCCGTCTTCTCTCCTTTCTCCTTACAAGCCACTTGGGCTCCCCTGCCTCTTCCCTTTCATGAATTTGGGGTTGGTTCAGCGATACTATTTGGAACTTTCGGCTTACATGCTGACTTAGTCAAATAACACTTCACCTCCAGCTTGCGTCACTTCTCTGCGCGAGCACGACCTTACCAGTCTCGCAGGGCCTTCTCTTGGCCTGGTTGCGAAGCTGCCTGCACGGCATCTGTAGGGAATGCATCGTCCACCTTGGATGAGACTGGCAAGATTCCCTTGTACCTTGTAGTTGTTCGGTGTACTTTCCAAGATGCAAAGCTTTCAGTCTTTCCACGCGCGAGCGGCAAGGACTGCCACTTTCAGTTCCCTCCTAAAGTTCTTATTCACCCGGCTGGTCCTACCAGATGTATTCTGAAGGATCTCGCTGGTGTTGGGCAGCGTGTGGAATGGCTCCAGTTAGCCAAAGGGGTCTCTGCCTTGTTCTCAAAAAGTGATATTCTGCCAGTCAGGGTGCGATGTAATAATGATGAGAAATACAACCTTCCTCTAGTTCCTAAGGGTTTCCTCCCCGCTCCCACTACCATGACTCGAATTC